GGCCCTGGGCGTTCCTGGCTCCCTGCGGCTGCATTGGGGTGAAGCTCCAAGGCTGTGCCAGGCTCCCTGGAGCTGGTGGGGGCCTCACAGCCACTCTGTCCTGACAGCTATGCCCATGCCCTGGACGGCCTGTACCGCGTGGCCCGGGAAGGTGAGGGCCAAGGTCCAGGGTGGGGCCTGAGGATACGGGCGTGCTGCAGGGGCATGCGGGAGGCTCGCAGGACCTGCACCGGAACTCGGCCAGGTGCCTGACCTCGCCCCTTCCTCACGCAGAGGGTCTGAAGAAGCTGTTCTCGGGTGCGACCATGGCGTCTAGCCGCGGGGCCTTGGTCACGGTGGGCCAGGTAGGGCTCCTGTGCCAGTGGGGTGGGGCCTGGGGCAGCAGCTACACCCACTGCCCTCCGTCTCCAGAGCACTCGCAGAGGGAGGGACTCGAGCTGAGAACCCCCGATCCCATGGGGACTGGAGGGGGGCTTCCGACCAGGCCCGGCCCCGCTCGTCTGCCCGGCTGTGCGCACTTCCCCAGGTGGCCGTTGTGGGCCTGTCCTACCCCGACCGCCCCTGTCCCCACAGCTGTCCTGCTATGACCAGGCCAAGCAGCTGGTGCTCGGCACGGGGTACCTGTCTGACGGTGTCGTCACCCACTTTGTCGCCAGCTTCGTCGCGGTAAGTACTGCTGCTGCGGTGGCCCCTGGCCAGGCACGGGCTCGAGGAGGCAGCTTTGGGCACGTCCGGCGGGTGCAGGAAGCTTGTGGCCAGGACTGCCCTGTTCTCTGGAGCCCCAGGACCGGGAGACACCTCCCTGGAGTTGGGATGAGGTGTGGGTGCATGTGGGGCCTATGCAGGGCGCCGGCAGCCATGGTGATGGGCCTGTCCCCAGGGTGGCTGTGCCACATTCTTATGCCAGCCTCTGGACGTGCTAAAGACCCGCCTGATGAACGCCGGGGGCGAGTACCGGGTGAGTGGCGTGGGCAAGGGCCTGCCCTGCTGGACCCCCTGGGGAGGGTGGCCCGACCTGGCCACAGGCCCCAGGCCTGCTCTCCCGCTCACCTGGCCTGGAGGCCCCAGTGCTAGTGTGAGTCACACGAGCTCTGCGCTTCCCTCCACCCCACAGGGTGTGCTCCACTGTGCCCTGGAGACAGCCAAGCTTGGACCATTGGCTTTCTACAAGGTGTGGGGCGGCGGGCGGGCGGTGGGCGGCGGGCTGGGCTCGGGGCGGGGTCTGGGTCTCCAGCTGCCCGTCCCTCGCAGGGCCTCTTTCCTGCGGGCATCCGCCTGGTGCCGCACACCGTGCTCACCTTCGTGTTCCTGGAGCAGCTCCGCAAGCACTTTGGCGTCCGGGTGCTGTCCTGAGCCACGGGCCACCAGGCCGCCAGCGCGCCGTTCTTCCAGAGATGGTGGTGCTGAGCCCAGCGTCCCCAGGGCCCCAGCCCCCGCCCCGCCCTGGACACCCTGCCCGTCCTGCTCGCAGTCCCCTCACTCACTCAGGGAGAGCCCCGGGCTAGGAGGCCACCCTGGCCCGCCAGCTCCCGCCAGCAGCTGGCACTGGAGCGGGTGCCACCCCTGCCCTCTGCTCCTGCCCCACCCAGCCCCTGGGGCTCATTCCTTTCCCAAGTCGCTGGGCCACAGCGCCATGCTCTAGCAGCTTCTGCCGAGGCTGGGCAGAGCAGGCCACGGTTCGCCTTACAAGGGACCACACCTTCGGTGTCCTCGAAGGACGCCCACTCCAGGAGGGACGACAGGTGACACAGGTTGGCTGTGGGGACGGGGAGGCCATGCTCGCTGGTGGCGCAGAGGTCACTGAGGGCCCACGCACCTAGCCCTGCTGCTTTGCTGTCTTGTCAAAACCTCCCAGCGCCCAGAGGCAGTTGCCATCTTTGGTAACTAGTCCCTCAGCGTCCCCAGGCACCCCCGCCCAGGTCCCAGGAAGGGCGGGCCACGCCAGCCAGAACTGGGCTGCGGCCCTTGCCCCACCCCTTTGTGGACAGCGGTCACTCCTTGAGAGCCCCTAAGCGGCCAAAAATGCCTCCTGGCTCCGTGGCCACAGCCGCCCATTCCCAGCAACCAGGCCTGGCCACCATGCTGTCTGCCTCCTGGGTGCCCTCGACTCAGCAGCCACCCGGACACTGGCCCCAGAGCTGTCAATAAACCACATGGACCGCCCTGTCTGCTCCCTGACGTGCACCCGCCGCACCGTGGCCACCAGGGCTACCTCATTGTCCCAGTGGACCCTGTGCACCCTCAGGAGGGGCTTCTGGCTTGAGTGGCAAGCCCGTCTCCCGGGCTGTGTGGGTTTGGGCAGCCTGTGGGCAGAAGAATTGAAGGGGGGCGGCAGCCCCCAAATCAGGCAGCCAGGAGAGGGGTGCATGGAATTACTGGATGTCACAGGTCCAACCCTTCCCAGCAAGCTCCTGGTGCCACAAGTGCCCAGCCTGAGACCCCAGCTGGGCCAGCTGCAGGGGCTGGACTGCCCGGGGCTCTCCTCACTGCAGGAGGCACCCCAGGCTGTGGGGTGCTCACTGGCGAGGGAGGCCAGAAGACCTGCCTTGGGGGTTGACCCTGGGCAGAGGCCAGGGCGGGCAGTGGTGGGCTTCAGGGTCACACGGGGCCTGGGTTCAATCACGCCAAGGGTGAAGCCTGTGTCGAGTTGTGGGATGACCACACAGCCCTGGGCATGCGGGAGGCCACTGCATCTCCAGGAAGCTGCTGTTCGAGAGAAGCCACCCCTCGCGCCCAGCTGGCTTCGCTGGAGAGCTTCCTGCCCTGTGGCGTGGAGGTCGCACAGCGTCATGTAGCCGTGTGAGTGGGTATTTCTGAGAATTGGGGTTTAGGTTTTTGCCATAGGGTGTGTGTGCTCGCTGAAGGGAGATTGCGGAGAAGTGAGAAACCACCCCCGGGGTCATGGCCACCGCGGTTTCCCTCCAAGGTTCTCGGTGTGGGGCGCACCTGCCCACAAACCTGGTGTGACCCTAAAGGGTGCAGGACTCGAACCGTGGACTGCAGGCCCTTGAAAATGCACATTTCAAGTTGACATAAAGGATGGGCCAGCAGGTGGCATAGTGATTAAGGTCCTGGACTCATGTGGTCGGCCGTGGTTTGAGTCCTGGACCCGGAAGCTCCATACGCCAGACACGCGTGTGTGCGTGCCAAGATGCCTGAAGGAGAAGGGACTGTGGCACGGCGTCCCCGGGGGTGGTCTCTCACCTCCACTCCATCTCTGTCTCTTCAGAAGTGCACACACCTTATAGCAAGTCTCAGAGAGGAGTGATCAGAGTTCACTCGAGGTGGTCGCAGCCTTTCCACTGAGCGCAGTGCGAGGCCTTGGCACCGCAACGTCCGGGGCACCACAGGCCAGCCTCCGTATGAGCCGGGTGCAGGCGAGGGCTGCTCCAGCCTGGCGCTCTCCCCATGCTGGGCCCTCTCTGCTCTGGAGAGAGTCGGCTCTGGTCTAGGGCCCGGTACTGGCGTGTGCGTGCACGTGTGCGTACAAGCCTTTCCTGCTGCTCTGTTGGGCGGGCGTGGTACGGGGTCAGGCCCATAGCTGCCATGAAGGTCGAGGCGTGGGGCCGGAGGCGGGCCTGCTGCGGAGACTGCTGCTTCCCGGGCGAGCTCTGACGCAGCCCTGGGTGGCAAGTTCCAGAAGCTGTGCACTCGGCCAGATGCCAGGGCCACCCGGAAGCTGGCAGCTCCCCAGCCCTGCAGGACAAGGCCTCCTCAGGGAAGGAAGTGCCAAGTGCCCGGTCCGGTTTGGTGGGGCGGGGCTGAGCTGGCAAGACCGTTGGAGGTCAGAGGTGGGTGGGAGGGCACCAGGTTGTCCCCCCCCCCCTCTGGGTCAACGCGGACTGTCGGCAGGGCAGGGCAGCCCCTCCCAGGAGTTGGCTTCAAGCCAGTCAGACGGAAAGTTGGTGAGCCGGGCCCTCAGTATTCAGTCCTGGAGTCCCTCTGTGCCCCCGTTCTGGACGTGGCAAGGGGAGGGTCCCAACCCCTGCGGCTGGGACGAGAAGCCTAGACCTTTGCTCCACAGCGATCAGTTACTGTTGAGAAATTTCCCAAGAGCGCTGTGGCCATTGGATGGGGAGAACAGTCCCGTGAGCAGTAGTGGTGGGAGATGCCACCTTGCATTGCAGAAGTGGCCTGGCATGTGCCCTCGGGGCCCGCAGCAGCGTGGTGTTTAAGGGACTGGACTTCCACATGGCTGGGTTTGGTTAGACTCCTGGACCCGGTGGCTTGAAACACGCCAGGCATGAGCGTGCATGCCCACGACCCCAGGAGAGAAGAGATTGCTGTGTGGCCATCGCCCCTGGGGGTGACTTGTCGCTGACTTGCCAGTGAGCACACGTTCCCGATGGCAAAAATCTTAAGGGAAAAGCAAAGCGTCCTAGACCTAGACATGAGCACTAAGTCCAGGGAGTGCATGGAGACGCGGGGAACCCTGGAGGAGACACAGCAGCTGTCCAGAACTGGCCTCAGCCGGGCCGCTGGCCACCATCACTGTCCAGCAGGGACTTGATGGCACGCCGCGAAGAAGGGGAGGCGGCTGTCTGGGAACACCGGGCCGGCTCCGCTTGCTTTCTCGGGTGAGTCCTGTTGGAAAGCAGAGGCAGGATTAGGGGAGTGGCAGTTCTTGGCTGCGACTGGGCCTGGAGTGGGCTGCCACAGGGACTGCGCGTTAGGCTTCCCGGACTCAGCGCAGCTCGTAGGCCCGTGCCTCCCACGGTCGACTGCTCTCGCGGGCTGAGTGCGCAGTGCAGACTGGACCCTGCAAGTCCGAGCGCAGCAGGTGGGGACACGACACGCACTGAACAAAGACCTCGAGCTCCGGAGCTCGGGAGGACCACGGCATGGGCGGACACGTGTGGACCGCTCGGCTGGGAAGGGGCTGCGAGTGTCCCAGGCGCAGAGGTGCGGTTGGGCCCTGAGCCGCTTCGTGCCTCATGGCAGGGATGGCAGGGATGGCAGGGATGGCAGGGAGGAGGATGAAAACAGCTCAGGTCTGGGTGGAGCCATGGCTGCAGGGCCCCTGGAGAGGGGTGAGCCGTGTCCCCTGGGCCTGGTGCAGTGTCTGGTGCGGTAACGGCGTGCCTTGGGGGCTTGGCCGGCCTCCATGGCCCTGGGTGTGCGTGTTTTCTCAGGTGAGGCTTATCTTGGGCCCTCCTCAGTCCGGGTTTACTTCAGAGCCTCCAGGCAGTTTGGGACTGCCCTAAGTCAGCAGTAAGCAGACTTTCTCAGCAGAAGCTAGGCTTATCCGCTCGCTGGGGTGCTGAGCAGACTTGCCTCCCGGCAGGGCGGTCTCTGATCTCAGCCTAGGGAGAGGGTGGTGGCTGCAGGCTCCTCAGGAGGGTAGGTCGTTTAGCAGCAGGGGAGAGCCTGGCTCCAGAGAACACTTTCTCTTTTCTAAAATAAGAATGTATTTCATTTGATTTATTATTATTTTTTAATTTGATATAGGGCACGTGGGCTCATGAGAGAGAAAGTGAGAAAGCAAGTCACCAGGTTCAGGACTTGAACCGCGGTTGGCCATGTGGGAGTCCAGCGTCTCCACACCACCTGCTGACCTCAAGACTGTTTTTTGTGTTTTTTTTTTAAAGAATTATTTAACTTCCTTCCTTTCTTCCTTCCTTCCTCCCTTCCTCCCTCTCTCTCTCTCTCTCTCTCTCTCTCTCCCCACCAGAAAGGGACAGGGCAAATCAGCAAGAGAGAGAGGAAGTGAGAAAGCAAGCCTCCAGGTCCGGGACTTGAACTCCATCAGCCACGTGGGAGTCCAGTGCCCTAACCACCATGCCACCTGCCAGCACCAAGGCATTTTTTTCTCAGCAAAGGATCAGGCCAGCTACACGGCCTAGTGCTTGAGGGGGCCGGTCCCTCACGGCCACTGCTCCGTGCGAGCCTCGGCTCCACTGGCCTGAAAACGCCCCGATGCCGGCAGGATGGAGAACGGCGGCAGGGCTGCGTGTGGACACGCTGTGGCGGTGCTCTGTCTCTCTGGCCAGCGCACGTGTCTTCTCGCAAAAGGAAAGGAAGTCAATCATGGCGGGTGTCTCCACAGGAGGTGGCCGCGGCTGGTGGCCGCAGGACGAGGTGCTCATCGCTCGGTCATCGGGGGTGCAGCTCTGCCTGCTGACCCAGTCCGCTGGCGAGGAGTCAGCCACCGGGCCACCGGGAGCTAGCTGGTGGCGGGGCTAAGGCCAGATCCCACATGGCCACTGCGTGTTTTGCGTCCTGGATCCAGCAGCTTGAGAAAACCTGCCAGGCCGCTGCGCGTGTGCCCAGACTCCGGAAGGGAGGGTGGAGAAGGCGTTGTGGGTGGCCATCCCCCCGGGGGTGCTTTCTCTCGTGAGTACACATGTCCTCAGGCAAAAACCGTAGAAGTCAGGGAGCAGCGGACGGCGGAATGGTTGTCACTGGCCTCCCACGTAGTCGACCACAGTTTGAGTCTCCGACCTGGCAGCTTAAGACTCACACCAGGCACATGTACATGCGTGCCCAATTCCTCAGAGAAGGGAGGAGAAGGGATTGTGGCGTGGCCATCCCCCCGGGGGGTGATTTCTTGCTTTCTATCTCTCTGTCTCTCCAGTGAGCGTATGTGCCCTATAGCAAAAATCTCTCAAAAAAAAAAATTGTAGGGACCAGCAGTTGGTGTAATGGCTATGTCACTGGACTCCCATGTAGTCGACTGCGATTCAAGTCCCGGACCCGGTGGCTTAAATTCACGCCAGGCGTGTGTGCGTGTGTGCCCAAAATCCCGAGAGGAGAATGGAGGAGAAGGGATTGCGGCGTGGCCATTCCCCCTGGGGGGTGATTTCTCGCTTTCTGTCTCTCTGTCTCTCTCTGTCTTTCTGGCAAGCGCATGCACCTTATAGCAAAAACCTCTCAAAAAAAATTGTAAAATTTAAGGGAACCAGCAGTTAGCGTAATGGCTATGTCGCTGGACTCCCACGTAGTCGACCGC